GCATTCCTGGGTGTGTCATTCACACCTGTGTAAAACAGGTTTATGGTCACACATCATGCAAGTTATTACACCTTATGATCTGTTATTCAGTCGTGCTGATACACTATAATAAAAGGACCAAACATAAGTTATGTTTGACAAACATTGCAGAACAAGGTGGCTTAACTGTACATGTGACTCCATTGTAGGTTTGTTATTCAGTGTCAGAATAAGTGGTATGGTAAATACTACCAACCCAGGGACATGTGTTGACTTCCCATTAGAGACAGGTCACTGTGATAGGTCGTGGTCCAGAGTGAGGCTGTATAATCGCACGATTCAGTTTGATTATTATGCTACCATGTTGACAATGTGTTAACATTGAAGTTGAAAAATCCCAATTGATCTTATTAATTACGGTGGGGCACAAGGGGCTGTAGGGTAACCTAGTGGTTAAAGGTTTCGCTTTCACGTCCAAGTCACGCAATGTGTGAAGCCCATTTCAAGACCCAGGTTCGATTCCCTGACATGTGTACAATGTGTGAAGCCCATTTCTGGTGTTCCCGCTGACCCAGGTTCATATTGCTGGAATATTGCCCCGCTGTGATATTGAGCAGCGTGAAAACTAAACTCACTCACTCACTCACTATTAAGGTTTAGGAGCTATGGGGTAGCCTTGTGGTTTAAACGTTCGCTCATCATGCCGAGGACCTGGGTTCGATTCCCAACTTGGGTACAATGTGTGAAGCTCATTTTTGATGTCCCGTCGTGATATTGCTGGAATATTGCTAAAAGACATGAAAAACTCACTCACTCACTCTCTATTAAGGTTTTAAGATCATACATCATTTCACCATGCTGAACTGTTAGCGGGGCACAGGTGGCCCAGTCAGGACTGCTGCAGTTTGCTGTACCTGAAATCTGTAAGGGGTTTGAACCCAGGTTTTCTCTGATTATGTGTCCAGGTTTGTCTGCACCTTAATCGCCTTTCCTTCCCCGTCAACTTAACCAAGCTTGCTTGCCTTGATTCATTAAACTGGAAACTGTTAAAATGGTGGCTTTTCAAAACTGTTCCACTGAAATGTAAACCAGATTTACCTGTTTGCCCAATGACCAGGTATGAGGTGTTTAAGAGACTGGTTCACTTGGTTTCTTAAAATACATGTCACCTGTTTACGTGTTTGTTATTTATATTTGATCTGTTATATGAGTTACGATAAGAAGACTGCAAGTTGCCAAGTCCAGGTGCTGAAATAGAGACTCTTAATATACCTCAGTTATTTTATTTTTGTTTGTACGCATGTTATATCAAATCTATTGAGTATCTACAAAAATTGAAGCGTATTTGTACGCAATAGACTTAACAGGAATTGAGTTTTCAGATAAATATATGCGTAATTTACGCTGATACGGAGCTTACGTGTACCTCTGCATGCATCCATGTCAACGCTGTGATAGTTACAGTGAGATAGAGAGCACTCCTACTGCCCAAGCAGGAAGTGTGAAATACTTGACTGATTCCTGTTGTGAGTTGTGTCTGTTGTGATGGCTACAGCTGATGAAAGAAGTGCTACACATGCACAACAGGACAGGTCATGGCCGTGTTTACATTGTGGATGGAACAACTCCAGCAGGGAGAGCTCAGCCTATAGTCTGTTTCTGGCTTTGTTGTAGCTTTATAGGATGTTGTTCACATCTGTTCCTGGCTTTGTTGTAGCTTTATAGGACAAGTTTTCATGGATTTATTCAATCTGATTTCTGGCTTTGTTGATGTTGTAGCTTCTATAGGATGTTGTTCACATCTGATTTCTAGCTTTATAGTTGTATCTGCTTTTGTTGTAGCTTTATAGGATGTTGTTACATCTGTTTCTGGCTTTGTTGTAGCTTTATAGGATGTTGTTCACATCTGTTCCTGGCTTTGTTGTAGCTTTATAGGATGTTGTTCACATCTGTTCCTGGCTTTGTTGTAGCTTTATAGGATGTTGTTCACATCTGTTTCTGGCTTTGTTATATAGGATTATAGATTTCTGTTTTGTTGTAGCTTTATAGGATGTTGTTCACATCTGATTTCTGGCTTTGTTGTAGCTTTATAGGATGTTGTTCACATCTGATTTCTGGCTTTGTTGTAGCTTTATAGGATGTTGTTCACATCTGTTCCTGGCTTTGTTGTAGCTTTATAGGATGTTGTTCATAGCTTTATAGGATGTTGTTCACATCTGATTAAGGGCGGTGGGTAACTGAGTGGTTAGAGTGTTCGCTTGTCATGCCGAAGATCCGGGTTTGATTCCCACATGGGTACAATGTGTGAAGCCCAGTTCTGGTGTCCCCATCGTGATATTGCTGGAATATTGCTAAAAGCGGCGTAAAACATACTCACTCACTCATATCTGATTATTACCGGAGTGTGTCTGATTTCTAATATATGTGACATGTTAGTTTAGCAGGGCATGGAGTCAGCCCATAGATGACATCCTTACCTCGTTAGCTTGCTGACGAGGTTAACTTCTTTGGTCATGTGGGCAAGGCTTCGGATCACAAGGTCCGTGGTTCAAATCCCAGCACGGGACTCGGATACATTAGGAATAAATATGTTATTTTACAAGGATTTTTCGATTGCTAAGTTTGGACTGGCAGATCTATGTAGTGACTGACTCTTTGGCAGAATTATTAGGCAACGCTTCTTGTATAGTCCGTTTGGGTTAAAATGAGAACGATGAATGATATAAATATAGGACAAATAACTCCACATAGGGATAAGTGCACAAAACATATGTGAGGAGTTCGTTACCTTGCAGGGCAGGTTGTTATGGAAAATGGCAGATGTGGACTTGAGTGAACATGTAGTTATGTAAAGCTGGATCTGCAAGAATTATTGATCTGCTTGTCACTGATTGCAGTACACCACGTATTGATCTGCACCAGCCATGACACTTGGGCTAGAATGGCTGACAGTGTCAGATACTGACGTCAGTCTGGGTGAGTCAGTCAGTGAGTGAGTGAGTATGGTTTTACGCCACTATTAGTATTACGATATTCCAGCAATATCAGGGACACCAGAAATGGGCTTCACACATTGTACCCATGTGTGGAACCAAACCAGAATTGTCAGCGGTAAATTTAGCCACAAGCCAATGCTACCCCACTACATTGTCAGGGTGACTTTAGTTTCACAGCAGAACTTGAACTACCCCTACTTATGGTTATGGCGTTCATTCAAGCTCTATATTGCATATGAATATTGTTCTTAAAATAGAACACCATGCGACAGTTTTTACATGGATACCCATTCTGACACAGCATACTGACTCCAAAACCAACCAGTTGTCCCCTTTGTTGGGCAGTGGGGTAGCCTAGTGGTTAAAGCGTTTGCTCATCACTCCAAAGACCCAGGTTCGATTCCCCACATGGTAAATGTGTGAAGCCCATTTCTGGTGTCCACCTGCCATGATATTGCTGGAATATTGCTAAAAGTGGCGCAAAACCATATCCACTCACTCACTCACTCACTCACTCACTCACTCACTCACTCACTCACTCACTCACTCACTCACTCACTCACTCACTCACTCACTCACTCACTCACTCACTCACTCAGAGAGATTTCAAAGGACATTCACTGATAACTTTACTATTTTGAATTAAAACAGTATTGAAATCCAAATCTCAAGTATTCAACATTGCCCAGAAATCTGAAAGCACAAATGTTTGTTTCCAATAAGTTATGGATACAAGTGATCATTATACCTCCTCTACAGCATTAAGTAGATCTGATCTGTTCATCCATACAGCCAGCAGGTGGCGCCATTCATCGCTATGGATGTCATTTCCTGAAGTATTCAAAAGCTCTTAATCACTAAGAGACTGGTCGTGACAGCTGTTGGTCGTCCATGTAGCATATGTGCCGTCAATACAGTACGCGGTCATCACAATCAATGACAATGGGGATTTGGGGTATCGTTGATTGGAAAAGGTGGCATTGATATCATCATGATTATGAGTGAGTGAGTGCATTGGGTTTTACGCCACTTCTAGCAATATTCCAGCAATATCATGGCGGCGACACCATGGACATCACACATTGTGCCCATATGGGGAATCGAACCCGAGCCTTCGGCATGACAAGCGAACACTTTAACCATTAAGCTACCCTCGCACGTCGAAGAGTTAGGACCAGTTATGTTTATGATTGTATACTGATATACGAGAAATTAATTATAGTCATCCATGCTGCGGTTTTAATGATATCATGTCCACATAAGTATCAATATACACAAATATTTTATGATTGTATATTATTAGAAACATTGATCATGTTATACTTTGAATGATATTGTTTCCAGGCTTGTATCAACATAGTATCAATGAGAAAGTTACTATATCGACATATCAAAAAGTAACAATTTAGATACACCTGTTGCAGTTTCAATTTTACCATGTCCAGGAAAACATACATTAAAATAAGAGAGGTAGTGAGATGGAACTGATTTTCCGAATGAAACCAGATCTAAATTAGGAACCATACATAATTTATTCCTAACAGGGATGACGATTATTTTTTTGGAGAAGCATGTACAATACTGAATGATCCCCTAAAGTTTATGTACAAAATAAGCGACACCCCAACCCACCCCTCTGCATGTCATGTACAAAATCAATGCATTAAGTGCTTTAGATTAATTTTCTGCATTGGTGATAAGTCCGAAGTTCTAACAGTATTTGTTGTGCAGCTGAAAGTATCACTTCCATGACATACTACATCATGACCGTCATGTCAGATGTCAGTATCATTAAAGTTGATTATGTTAATTGCCTCATCGTAATCATCACCATCACAATTATGGTAATTGAGAAGCAATTTGATCCATGTGGCATTGTACCAGCAAGTGGATGCAGCACGTACAACATGGCTATCTTCATTGATTTCCATGATTGGGAGAGTCTACTAAGGGAGATAATCAATGTCCAACTATGAATCATCACAAGTTGATATAGAGTACATTGCTAGAGCCTGGTGATGTCCTACTGAGAGTTACAACCATATATCACCTGAATGTGTAATACACGCTCGTATATTTCATGCGAGATAAAACCTATATCACCCTGACCTGGATCTAGCTGTAATTCAGTGGAGGCTTACAACTCAAGGTAATGAATTACACATTGACCTTTACCAGTTGTGTGTTAATGTATGAATGAGGGTATACATGTATTTTAACCTGTAACAAGAATTGGGTCATTGTAATATCTACACTTGTTGATTGCATATTCTGTGCAATATAGTTACGGAAAGAGTGTGCTTGCATATTTTCTTACTACGCCGTCCATGACGGACAGTCTATGTGCTTCATCCAATGCTGATCGATACCATTCTTCCTTTTTTATGACAAGCCATATACAGAAATCCAATTTCCTCTTCAGGTAATTTTCAATTACAATGGCATTTATAAATCACCCTGTAGCACTTTGATTCCTTTTTAAAAATCAATACCTTCTTGCATTGTTATGTTTGAAAGTGAATATTTTAGTGGTGAAAAATGTTGATCATGTTTACCGATCATAAATTGCACTTGATAACCGTTAGCTGTCTTCTTGCAAATCCCTTAGCACAGAATACAACTAAAGTGGACTGATTAGTGGGAAGTATGTCAATAAACATTCCTTCAGCTGTTGCAGTTTATATTTTTAAAATGTTAGGATGTGTCTTTGAGTTTTTACAGTAGAATATGGGCGGTGGGGTAGCCTAGTAGATGAAGCGTTCCTCGTCACGCCGATGACCCAGGTTCGATTGCCCACAAGGGTACAAACTACAGTTCGTGAAGCCCATGTCTGGTTTCCCCGCTGTGATATTGCTGGAATATTGGTAAAAGCGGCATGAAACTTAACTCATGCACTCACTTGTGCATCATAAAGTACTTTGTATGCCTAACACTGTATACATGAGGGTGTACGAGGTAGTCTCAGGTATGTATCAGGGTATGTAATGTCGGCACAAACATGATCACTCACTCACTCACTCACACTCCAGTGGAACATGTTAGAATTCACTTCAATGTATTTTCCATTTATTATATATAACTTCGCAGACTGCTTATTCCATCATTAACATGAACCACTGTTGTCAACAATTAAAAAGTCAGTGACATCGTTCAGCACAAGGAGGCCGAAGCACCACCCCTTCTGTCATCAGCCAGACAGGAAACAGTAATTGCTGGTGGATGTGACCTTGTTATTTATTTTTGTAAGTTCCCACAATTCCCTGTGCAGAGACACGTGTTTCGGACAGGACAGGAATCATTGTTCTCTAATCCTGGATTGCCCAGATTGTGTTTCAAGGTTTTTCACCACTATACCCATGTTAACAGGTTTCACAAGCCTTGCCGATTCCCCACATGGGTACAATGTGTGATGCCCATTTCTGGTGTCCCCCGCAGTGATATTGCTGGAATATTGCTAAAGGCGGCATAAACCATACTCACTCACTCACTCACTCACTCACTCACTCACTCACTCACTCACTCACTCACTCACTCACTCACTCACTCACTCACTCACTCACTCACTCACTCACTCACTCAGAGAGACTCACTAGCCTTGTTCCATGGGCTGTACTGAATGCTAATGTATATTATTCTACCCTCTAAACAGGCAAGTCTAGGTAAACAGACTGTACATCTAAGTAGTGGTGGTCCAATTAATTGAAATAATCGAAGATTGGTCGCAGTGGCCAAACGACCAAGCAATCGATCACATTTTCTCATAATCGAACACAAATGATTTTGGAACCGCTGTAATAGAGTTTGAAATACTTGATGATGGAACATATCTAGGACGTTATCAGGGCCTGAAGACGTGTTTATTTCTAAGAAAACTCACTTCACTTTCTGAAAAGTTATGACTGAATATTTCTTGAAGAATCGGGGAAGTTAATGTTACACTGGAACTGAATCATTTTACACTGGATGTGAAATCTGCAAATGTAATTTGTGCAGTTTTTAAAGAAACAACAGAGAACCAAATGTTTTTTCCTTTATACATATCTGCAAGTACAACCTGAATAGGAAAATCTAAAAAATGACGCTAACCATTTTTTTTTCGATGATTGATCGTTGATATTGAACAAATCATCAATTGTGAGATTTCAACCAATTCCCAACACTACATCTAAGGACGCCAGTCTGTGAGCTGGACAATGTGTTCTTATAACCTGGCCTTAAAGAAGCTGTTAGTTTTGTAGCACAGTATTTGAATCCATTTGTCAACTTTTCATGCTTGATGTCACACACTGTCAAAGTTACTATTAAAGCAGGTATTCTGATGTTTATATCTCAGAACACACAAAATATTAGTGATTGATGGTGAATAGTAATTGGATTGTTGGAACCTACTAATTGTTACTAGTAATCGATGATGATATCCCAGCTTAATCCATCAACTGCGAATAGATATTGTGAGGAAACCAAACATAGTGGGTAGGTTGTTCAGAGTTGCCAACCTCTACGATTTTATTGTAGTCGCTACGAATTTTAGCCTCAAACTACGCCAATACGATTGCACTAGAAATTCTACGAAATTTGAAGAAAAATTTAAAAATTCGGATATATAGACAAAAACATATTTTCATTGATTAAATACATTTTCGGACTTCACTTACCTTCCATTCATCCAATTTTATGACATATTTGAACTGGAATCATTGAAAGTAACAAATGTAATTTTAGTGAAATTGTCCGTCAGAAATCTGAACCTTATTTCAATACCTTTGCGATTTGACCCACTTATTGTGTACTGGCGGAAAATGATGATCCTATCGGAATGATTTAACCACGTGACCGTCCCTTCCGTTCAATTATACAAAACTGGTATGTGAAATTAAAGCTTCACTCTTGATTAGTGTCATATTATGTTTCTCAGAATCCATCATGATTTTAAGTATTTAGTTGACTACTAATTTTATGGTCAAACTACTAATTTTCATCCTTGAAACTACTATTTGCAACACACAGGTGTTGACATCTCTGGTTGTTACGTTTATTATTCACCCCCAGAGACGAGAGAGACCAGAGACAGTGGGTAGGTTATTATGTTAATTATTCACTCACTGGACAAAGAGTACCCAGTGTGAAACAACACCCTCACATAGGACATGCTCCATTGGACATGCGTCTGGCTCCGTATGGAAGCTCATGGGTCATAAATGATTTACTTCAGGATGGCGGATCAAAATCAATATCAGCTAGACACACTTGATCTCATTCTGGATGCAGGTTATTTTGCTCATCACGTCAACTTTTGCATGAGTTTCAGGTATGACAATGTGTGACATCTCACACCTCTACGTGAATAATCCCCCGCTCAAATAACAATTTTCTGGGAAATGTACAGGGATATTGCATGAATCCAGCAACACAGGTGTATCTCTGTAAATAATATGACTTATGCATATGACATTGGTAATGTCAAAGATGGAATAACATTTTCACCCTGACTATTCTTCTCAGATAGTCCTTGGGAATACACCTCGGCAAATCAACCTGGAGAATCAGCAAAACAGTGAATGTGTATGGTTTTATGTTGCTTTTAGCAATATTCCAGCAATATCACGTCAGGGGACACCAGAAATGGGCTTCACACATTGTACCCATGTGGGGAATAGAACACTGGTCTTAGCGTGATGAGCTAACACTTCAACCATTGGACTACCCCACAGCCAGAAATGCTTACAAGCATCCAGTAGGAAGGCCAGGGTAATCAGTATGTGGGAATTTCGTTGTTTAGAAGAGACTTCAACATTCCAAATTAACCAAGGATGTAACACCATTAGTTACAAATAAGAAAGACATCGCATATATTTTTTCACAAGTACTTTTACCTTATCTCCATGTCAGAACGTCCATATCTGATTGGTTGAAGTGGATGAATGAAGTGAGAGAATGAATCCCTTATCCCACCACAGAGAAACAGTGGATTTCGTCAGCAGGGCAATAAATCTCTTGCACGATGTTACAAAGCGAAAAGCTGCTGTGTTGTTTACTAATGATTGAAAGTCAGATGACACAGTACATGTTAACCTCACCTCCGTATAACAGCTGCTTTCTATCAATTTTCATTTTGCTTTCATTTTTTTGCAATGACAGATTGAAACATCTCAGGACGATAAATTGTGTAGCAGTATTGGCTTGTGATATAGCATCTAATGCAGGACGCTTAAAACCACATAATGCCGCTACTTTTAAAGTTGGAGGTAGCTTAGATTCAAGAAAATAAATATGAAAATAATCCATGTAGTATCTGAAATTAAACATTTTACTGACTCAATTTGAATTGTACATTTTATGTATCTATTTTCAAATAAAATAACTTTTTGGGGGGGACGAAATGTTCAAATAGGTGTTTGTTTGTTTGTTTGTTTGTAAGGGTGTATCTTTCATGTCTGTTCATATATAAGGGGTGCTATGGTAGTCTTGTGGTTAAAACATCCACTCCTCATGCTGAAGACCAGGCTTCAATTCATAGTTTGTTTGCTTTTTTATGCAAGATGTCAGTGATTTAGAGGAATATGCAATATGGCCTTTTGATATTTGAAAGTATAAGGCACTCCTTCAACACTGTATGTTCCTATGTTAAAAACAATTTTTTTAAATTAAACAATTTATAAAATTTACATAAAAAAATTCATTATGGTCAGTAAGGGTGGTAATTGTCCTCTCTGTAATGGTGAAATAACTTGGTGGCTTTTGTCCCAGGTGGCATTGTCCTAGGTGGCTTTTGTCCGGTGGCTTTTGTCCGGGTGGCTTTTGTCCTGCTCCCGTCAGAATATTCTTCATCTTTACCCAAATGTATACAATGTGTAAAGCCCATTTCTGGTATCCCCTGACGGTTATGGCTGGAATAACCTTACTTTCAATTCTTGAATTTCCTAGATAAGTTACACAATTTGAGAAAGGCATTTCTTTCTTATGTTTGTTTTCAACTTGTAGATGAAAAACACTTAAAAAGTATTGATGGCCTTAGAATTTGCCTACAGTAACCCGTACTTGCTGTGATCTGGTGTTCCTTTCATGACTCGTTTGATTCATGTCATCGTATTCCAGTTGCATAATTTGATGTTCATAGCAACAATCACTGGATTATCTTTTCCTGATTCA